AAATTTAAATTCTAATAGCATAAACAGAAGATGATCTGAATAAAAGATTCATGCTCTTTGCTGGGAAGATTTCGGTAATATCTGTTGTGTGACAAATTACCCCAAAACTTACTGGCTTAAAACAGCAAACACTTATTATCTCACACAGTTTCTGAGGGTCAAGATATTGGGGGTAGCTTAGCTGAGTGGTTTTGGCTCAGTCTCTTATGAGGTTGCAGTTAGGATGTGGATTGGGGCTGGAGGATCCCATTCAAAGAAGGCCCACTCACATGGCTGTTGGCAGGTGGCCTTAGTTCCTCACCACCTAGGCCCCTCCATAGGGCTGGTCATGACATGGCAGCTAACTTCCCAGAAAGTGAGCAATCTGTGTGAAAGAGCAGGAAGCCAAAGTGCCCTTTATGTATAACCTAGTGGGAAGTGACACATTATCACTTCTGCCTGATTCTATTGTGTGAGTAAGTCCAGCCCACACTCAAGGGGAAGCAAATTAGGTTTCAACTCTTGAAGGAGCAGTATCAAAGAATTTGTGGACATACCTTGAAACCTCCATAGGTAATATTATCAAGGTGGTATTTCTCCTCAGATCCATAAATTCAATGCAATCCCAATAAAACTTCCATTACCTTTTTAAGAATTGCAATAAACCTTACATTATAATTTAATAAAGGATCATAGATAGCTATGACTACCTTCAAAAAGAAAAGTTATGATGGGGACTTGCCCCACGAGAGAGTAAGACATACTAAAACCCAAAAAACCAAACCCATTGCTGTCAAGTCGATTGCGACTCATAGCGACCCTATAGGACAGAGTATAATTGTCCCTGTAGGATTTCCAAGGCTGTAATCTTCATGGAAGCTGATTGCCACATCTTTCTCCCACAGAGTCGCTGGTGGGTTTGAACCGCCAACCTTTTGGTTGGCAGCTGAGCGCTTAACCACTGCGCCACAAGGGCTCCAAGACATACTAAAGACCATAGTAACTAAAGGGGAAAAAAACTAATATTGGCCCAAGAGTTGACAGGTAGACCAATGGAACAGAAGAAAACAGCTCAGAGACAGAGCCATGTATCAGCAGAATTTTGTATATGATAGAGGTGGTTCCAACAAAAACAAAACAAAGGATGGGACAGATTGTTTAGTAGATTGTTATGGGAAATCTAGCTCACGACATGGAGAAAAATAAAACCAGATGCCTATCTCCCATCATGGAACCCTGGTAGCCCAGTAGTTAGCTTGGCTGCTAACCAAAAGGTCAGCAATTCAAATCCACCAGCCGCTCCTTGGGAATGCTATGGGGCAGTTCTACCCCGTCCTATAGGGTCACTGTAAGTCGGAATCGACTCGATGGCAATGGGTTTGATTTCAAACTATATACAAAGATGGACTCAACATGGATTAAAGATTAAGTGTGACAGCAAAAACTATAAAGACAATAGAACAAAATGTAGGAGAACATCTGTGACAAGGGGGAAGAGAAGGATTTCCTTAAAAGCACAGACCATAAGGAAAAAAATTTTTTTGATTATATCAAAATTAAGGATACTTATCAACCAAGGATACTACTTATAAAATTAATAACAAATACCAGAGTGGGAGAAGCTATCTGCAATTTCCAACACCCAAGGGATTAATATTTAGACCATGTGAGGAACACTTGAAAAACAACAAGAAGAGGAATATGAGAATTTGCCCAGTAGTTATATGGGCAAAGAATATAAACAGGCAATTTACAGGAAACCCAGAGTCAAACGCACATGAAGAGATGCTCAAAATCATTTTTGATGACAGAAATACATCTATTAGAGTGGGAAATTTTAGAAAGCTGGATAATGCTAAATGTCAGCAAGGATGGGAGAATGTAGGCACCTTCATACTTTGCTGGTAGGAGTATAGACAGTAACACCCATTCCAGTTAACAATCTGGCACTGCTTACAGAAATTAAGTATGTTCATTCCCTATGATCCAGCAATTCTTCTCTGAGTATACATCCTAAAGAATTTTTCACACTGGCTTATAAGGGAGCATTTACAAGGCATTATTTATTGTTGGGGAGCCCTGGTGGTGCAGTGGTTAAGAGCTCAACTGCTTACCAAAAGGTCAGCATTTCAAACCCACCAGCCGCTCCCTGGAAACCCTATGAGGCAGTTCTACTCTGTCCTATAGGGTCACTATCAGTCAGAATTGACTCGATGATAATGGGGTCGGGGTATTTATTGTTAGAGGCAACCCGAGTGTACCTTGTTGGGAGCTTGGAGGGGTAAAATGATGTACTAGATAGATGCACATCATAGAGTCTATTGTAACCGTTAGAAACAATGGACAGATTAGATGTGCACATGGTAACACAGATGCATCTTAAAAACTTAATGGTGGTTGGAAAAAAGAATAACACTGCCATTTACTTTAATTAAACACATAGACAAAAAATGCAAAATTTATGTGAAATCATGTAAAAAGACACAATTAAACAAAATGGTTAACTATAGGAGGAAGGGAATAGAAGTTGGGTGTGAGAATAAAAGAATAAATGAGAGGAGCTTGCATGGAACAACGATGGTGGAGTATGGTCAGAGTTCAGATACTCTGAGAGGCAAACATGTACTTTTTTCTTTTTTTTAATATTTTATTGTACTTCAGGTGAAGGCTTACAGAACAGATAGTTTCTCATGTAACAGTAACACACATGCTGTTTTATGACATTGGTTAACAACCCCACAACATTTTAACCCTCTAAATTCTCAACTTTTTTTTTTTTGTGAAAATACACATAGCCAAAGATACGCCATTTCAAAAATTTTTTTTACATACACATTTAAGTGACATTGACTACGCTCTTCTAATTGTGCTGTTATTCTCACTTAAGATGAAGGCTTACAGGACAAAATAGTCTCCCATTTAACAGTTACTACAAATGTTGCCCTATGACAATGGTTAACAATCTCACAACACATCAACAATATCCTTACTCTACTTTGTGTTCCCTATCATCAGCTTCCTACTCCCCTTCTGCCTTCTGGGCCTTGTCACTGGACTCCTGTACCTCGTTACTCTCATGGTTTTACTGGGCTGTCCACTCACAGGCTGATCAGTGAACCTTGAAGGTAACTTTACCACTGAGCTAAAAGGGTGTCTGAGGGCCATACTCTCAGGGTTTCTCCAGTCTCCTCTAGGCCAGTAAATCTGGTCTTTTTTTTTTTTTGTGAGTTAGAATTATGCTCTACATCCTTCTCCAGCTCTGTCCAGAACCCTCTGTTGTGATCCTGGTCAGAGCAGTCAGCGGTGGTAGCCGGGCACCATCTAGCTGTACTGGACTCAGTCCGGTGAAGGTCTTGGTAGCTGTGGACAATTAGTCCTTTGGACTAATCTTTTCGTTGTATCCTGTTCTCTTCATTCTCCCTTGCTCCCGAAGGGATGAGACCAGTGGAGTATCTTAGATGGCCGCTCACAGGCTTTTAAGACCCCAGACACTACTCACCAAGGTAGAATGTAGAGTATTATCTTTATAAGTAGTGTCATGCCAATTGAGCTAGATGTTCCCCAAGACCATGGTCCCCAGAGCCCTCCGCCCAGCAATTCAGTCCCTCAGGGAGTTTGGATGTGTCTATGGGGCTTCCACAAACATGTACGTTTTTGTATGGGGGACTTATATTCTCTCAGGGCGACCAGTATGTATGTATGTTTGTATGTATGGACAGTGTGAAATATATTCAAGTCCATCCTGGTGATAGGAGGCCTGGATATGGTGAAAGCCAGACAAGTCCATTTTGTACTGTGTGTGCTGTACTCTGAAGGTTAACAAATCTAGTCTGTGTTTTGGGGGCTGACCATTAGAAGTCCACTCTGTGGATAAGGAATTTAGCATCTCGGAGGGCAAACAAGTCCATTCTTCCTTGATGGGGTTCTCAGAAATGAAAAGTCTGTCAAATGGATTCATTGTAAAGGTAATTCAGACACTGTAAGTCTGGACAAGACCAAATTGTGGGCAGCGGGCTCAGACAACTTTGGTTTGGATAAGTCCTTTGTGTATTGTGAATGTTCTTTCTGTGGATCAAGGACTCAGCTACCCAGAGTGACAGCACAAAATCGTTCAGTGGATTGGGATAGACACCCTCTGACGACTGGAGCATCCTGTTTTCTTAGAAGGTATCTCAGGGAGTACTGCAAACAATCATAGGCTGGCTTCAGGGGGCTGTCAGATGAATATGAGGGCTGAAGTCAGAGATGAGAAGGAATGATGCTAGTGAAAAGTGTCCCATGACAGGTGGTTAGATGTTGGACACAGAAGTGAAAACGTAGGGGGCAGTGGAAAAGTCTGATGTCAGGGACTGAAGGGTGATGACTTCAGGGAACAAAACCTGTTGATGTCAAGTAGAGCCCAATTCTTAGTGACCCTATAGGACAGAGTAGAACTGCCCCATAGGGTTTCCAAGGCTGTAATCTTTAAGAAAGCAGACTGCCACATCTTTAGAACTATAGGCCTCTTTGTTAGCAGCCCAACACTTAACCACTGCGCAACCAGGGCTCCTTACTTCAGGAAACCAAAACCAAAAAACTAAACCCGTTGCTGTCGATTCTGACTCATGAATTCAGGGACGGTGGGGGACAAAACGTCGGGCCCTTGAGAGGTAAGAGGTTAGAGACTAGAAGGTGAAGAGGGTAGACATCAGGGGACATAAAAGGACGTTAATTATGTCGTCAAGGAAAACAACTGTGATGGTGAGAAGGACGTCTGAACAAATTGGGGGGCGACGTGAAGGACGCTGAGGATGATGTCAGGGACGGAAAGGAGTATGAGATCTTAACTGTGAGAACGATAAAGTTCTTGCGCGGGAAGGATGATGACGTCTGGATGCACCAGTCGCACATAAGTCGCCTCCATTCCCGGAAGCGCACAGAGCGCATCCCTCCCCTCGCTCCGCGGTCCCTTCCTCCCTCCCCGCCTCACCCTCGCTAGTCTCAGCCAATGAACACACACGCCGGCGCGCGCGGGGGACGTTCCCTGACGTGTCCGTTACGTACGCTTTATCAAGCGTCTTCCCGCTCGGCAGCCTCCCATTCTCTCTGCTCCTCGGCGTTAGCTGTTGTTTCGGCTGTTCTATTTTTTAATTTCCAGGTAAGCAATGTATGCTCTGCAGAGCAGCCGCTCCTTGCCTCACTTACTCAATCGCGTCTGGTGAGAGAGGGGGTGAGCTGAGGAGAGTAGAGGCCTCTGACACGTAGGCTTGGGCTTCTCTGGGCCGGTGGTCCCATAATCGCAGGTTGGTGGGAGGCTGGCGCACGGTATCCGACACAGGAATGCCGGAAGGGACTGGCAGCGTCGGTGGCGGCGGCAGTGACCACGCGACAGCCGAGACCTGCTACCCCCTTCCTCCCCAGCACGTGACCGCCGCCATCTTGTTCTTTGGGCGCATAGGGAACGCAAGAGTGTTCTGGGCCTGCGTGGCCGCACAAAATGACGGGCGTGGTGGCTGGGGAAATTATGGGCATGCGCAATGGCGGCCCTCAAATGGCGGCCTGGCTGAGTGAGCTTGCTGCTTCCCGCCTTTTCGGCCTTTCTCCGTCTCTTTAACTACTCACCCACTGCCTTCGAGTTGATTCACTCATAGCGATCCTGTAGGACAGAGTAGAACTGCCCCGTAGGGTTTCCAAGGCTGTAATCTTTAAGGAAGGGTACTGCCACATCTTTCTGTGGGAGCGGCTGGTGGATTCGAACCGTCGACCTTTCGGTTAGCAGCCGAGTGCTTAACCACTGCACCACCAGGTTTCCTTTATTTATCCCACAGGAGCTAAATTCACTGCCATGTCCTCTGAAGAAGGGAAGCTTTTCGTGGGAGGGCTCAATTTCAACACCGATGAGCAGGCTTTGGAAGACCACTTCAGCAGCTTCGGTCCTATCTCTGAGGGTGAGACAGGGATCAGCCCCACGATAAGGGGTGGATGGGAGGAAGTCTGGGGCCCTTGGACTTCAAGAAACAGAAAGGTCAGTGCTCCGGACCTTCACGTTCTTCCTGTGTTCCTATGCTGAGGAGGACCCAATCAATTTCTCCTCAGGATCGGTGGGAGGGATTCCTGTTTCAGACCACCCCTTGCTCTCTCACCCTTCTGGTGCTGACTGATTCACATTTTCCTGTCTCTCCTTTCCTTTCCCCAGTGGTCGTTGTCAAAGATCGGGAGACTCAGCGATCCCGGGGTTTTGGCTTTATCACCTTTACCAATCCAGAACATGCCTCAGATGCCATGCGAGCCATGAATGGAGAGGTGAGGCCTCCTACCCACAGAGGGGCCCTGCCCCCATCTGCCGGCTCCTCCATTCTTCTGTTTTTCCCTCTGTGTCTGCTAGGGGCAGCGCGGCCACCAGGCCCCGCAGTGCCCACTCACGGGAGCGTGACTACCTTCTGTTCTAGGGGGTGGAGGGCAGCGGCAGACAGAGCCAGGCTGCTTGGGAGGCGACGACTGGTCCTGCATGAGGCCGAGAAGCCACCTGTGGATGGTTGACCCGCCCTGGGCTTAGGTAGTAGAGTCTGCAGACCTGCGGGCCTGGCCCGGAGAGGACCTCGTGAGTCTTCTGGGATGGACTCTGAAGCCTCAAACCAAGAGGTGTCTATCTAGCGCTAATAGTCGGGCAGCTTAGAGGAGTGGGGAGGAGAACTCAACCTGAGTTCAGTCAAGATGTAAGTAGTAGCAGGGGAAACACAGTGGATTCAGGTCATTTTGTGGGATTTTGTAGCTCCTGATAAAGCCATTCTGGTCAAAGGAGCTTGTTCTGGAACGTGGCACCCAGAACCTGGTGCCCAGCAGGAATTTCTGGGCTCCTTTGCCCATCTGCCCATGCCCACTCCTCTCTTACCACTGCCCTGACTGACTGCCAACCTATCATCCTTGTGTCTCCCTCCCACACGTAGTCCCTGGATGGCCGCCAGATCCGGGTGGATCACGCGGGCAAGTCGGCCCGGGGAACCAGAGGGGGTGCCTTTGGTGCCCATGGGCGTGGCCGCAGCTACTCTAGAGGTAAGTGCATTGGTAAGTTGGATCATGGAACAAGGGGAGTGGCCTTTGTCTGAACAACTGCCATATCAATGTTTCTTACCTGCTGCAGGTGGTGGGGACCAGGGCTATGGGAGCAGCAGGTATGACAGTCGGCCTGGAGGATATGGATATGGATATGGAAGGTCCAGAGACTATAGCGGCAGGTGGGTACTCAAGGGATTGGGGTACTCTGGTGCTATTTCACTCTCGTTAAGAGCTCAGGTATGTTTTAATTCAAGCATTAGTCAGCTGTGCAACTTTGGCAAGTCCTTTGGGCTTCAAATGGGCATAACGATACCAGCCTTATGGGGTGGTTGTGAATATTGAACTTTAATGTTAATAAAGCGAATTGAACAGTGTCTGGCACGTAATCAGTACTTAATAATACTAGTTAATTATTGATACAATTATGACTTAAAATGTGTGAATATGTATGATGAATCATACTTTGGTATTACTGTGTTTTACTAACGTGTAATACCATAAAACAAGTATGTAATGTAATATTTTTGAGTCGTATATAACATTAGCTTGTTTTTATTTTATGGTCATGTATAATGTGGTAGATAATATGTATATGTTGATTGACTGTGATAAGTATTGGGTTAATATGTAATTACGACTTAAACGTTGTACGTAAACCGTATGCTATGTAATTATATGATATCGTACGTTTAACACATCTTTTTTATACGTGTTAAAGGTTTTGTAATAGTAAATATTACAAAAGTATACGATAGATAATCCAGAAAACCAAACTGACTGCTATCAAGTTGATTCTGACTCATAGTGACTCTAGAGGACAGAGTAGAACTGCCCCATAGGATTTCGAAGGCTGTAATCTTTACGGAAGCAGACTACCATACCTTTCTCCCATGGAGTGGCAGGTGGGGTTGAACCACTGACCTTTCAGTTAGCAGCTGAGCACTTTAACCACTGTGTTACTAGGGCTTTTTCATATAATATATAAAGATATGTAAATATATAGTTGTTTTTAATGTTATCAGATATATAGAAATAAATTCCTACAACACAATTTTGTGTGTTTTTTCCTAGAAGCCAGGGTGGTTATGACCGCTACTCTGGAGGGAATTACAGAGACAATTACGACAACTAAGATGAGGCATGCACATGTAATGTAGGTGAGACTTGTGTGTTCTTGGCATGAGCAGAAAGACCTGTTCATCCAGCCCTGTGGTGTTCTTCTCATCTTTTCTCCTCACCAGGCTGCTCAGCATTTCCACTGCCCTCAAATGTTTCACCCAGCCAGCCCACCTAACCCTATTCCTAGACCACCAGCCTCCCTTGCTCTCTGAAGCGCATGTCAGTCCGTTGGGGGTGGTGGGGGGTGGCGGACCTGAAAATCATGTACTCTTGCTGGGCATGGAGGAGATTAAGGGAAAGGGAGGTCCCTGTTGTCCAGCCTTCAGCATCCTTAACCCTGGGAGGTGAGCATGTTTTCAGCGTGTCCCTGCCTGACGCCACAATTTTCCCCCTTCTTACTGTTCTCAGATACACAAGGAATAAAAATTCTTCTGATCCAGGATCGTCCTTCCAAATGGCTGTATTTATAAAAGATTTTTGGAACTGCACTGAAACATCTTTTGTTTTAGTACATCAACTTCTATTTTTGAATTGAGCTCCCAGGGTAGCCTGTTCAAGACCTTTTAGTAAACTCCATATGTTTTTTAAACTTTTTTCTCATTTAAAGACAAATTCTGTGACATTTGTAGAGTCTCTGGGTATTTTTCCTTTTACTATTTTTTTAGTTTGGGCACTCAGGATTACTCTGGCAAAAAAAAATATTAGCCAGACTGATTTTTTTTTTTTAAATTAATAGGAACATTTAAAATTTGTACAGTGTTTCTTTATCATGGTTAGAAAACAATTTCCGAACGTACCTACAAGAAATCTGCATCAAGAATATGATTACTTAGAGGCGTTTTTTACTGTACATTATGATCACCACCCTGATTACATAGAAGAGCTTAAAAATGTTTGTGAATGTCATTTTTTTTTAATACTGGAAGAAAAAATATTCTGTTGTGTTTCATGTAGTGTTTAGGATGTCCTTCATGGAGCTGATTAAAAAGATGAAATCTGAAAATCGATACTGACAGTGCTGTTTCCTTAATCTAGTTTGCAAGTTAGGAAGGTTAGGAGGAGGGAGGCTTTGAGAAGATTTGGTGGAGGAGAGAAAGGGGGTGGGCAGGGACTGCCTGAAGGGGGAGGGACCTCGAGTTTCTAAGTTTGGCCAAGTTTAGGATTGATTTGGGTGCACATTGAGTCCTGAGTTATGGTGAACCTGTTGCCATTCAAGTCCATTCTGATTCATAGCGACCCTATAGGACAGTAGAACTGCCTCATAGGGTTTCCAAGGAGCGGCTGGTGGAATCAAGCTGCCAGCCTTTTGGTTAGCAGCTGAGCTCTTAACTACTGGCCACCAGGGCGCCAAGGTATGGTGAGTGCAGGTGAAAACCCCTTATGTCTGGGATTGGGTTTTCTAAAACGGCCCCATTGTCTTAATCAGTGTCTGCTTGGGAGTCAGAATGTTTGGGTTTGAATCTCCCTAGCTTCTCTGAGTATCAGTTGAGTATCCTCAGGATTGTTTTAATGTAAGCACCTAATCATGGTGTGAGCTCATCCCTGCCATAAATGGACAGAGGGGTTCCAGTTCTTTCCCCAGAAATGGTTGGAGTTAGGGAGAGGTTTATTAACTAACGTTTGTATGAGGACAATGGGAAAAACCTGGTTTGAAAATGACTTTAATAGCCTAGACTCTGGATTCAGATTCCACAGTTCAAATCCACGCTCTGCTATTTCCCAGCTATTTGACCCTGATAAGCCGTTTAACTTCTGCTTGTCTCAGTCTCCTAGTAGCCCTCATTACCCATTACAGTTCCTGTTGAGGGTTAAGTAATAGGCGTGTTTATAGTCATTGCAAACAAATGGCAAAGCTCTGTCACAGGGATTCAGTGTAAGGTGGGTGATGGCCCTTCTGTTGTCTGGGTTTGTAGCTAGTTTGGTTTTAGTTCATCAGTTTTGATACTCCCTTTGGTAGGTTCTGGTGGCTGAGTTGGAGTCCTGTTGGCTTGATCTCTCCATTGGTTCCAGTTTGCAACAGAAAAATCAGTGACATCTGTGGCTTCCACCTGGCTAGTGTTGCGCCAAATACCACTGGATCAAAAAAAAATCTCCAGCACCTGATCCGCCTTATTCCGTTACTGGGGTGTGGGTCCCTGTATTGTGAGTCTCAGCCTTTGAGGACTGCCTCCTGGGTCTCCCAGTTAGCTGGGGCAGGCCCCAAGCACCTCCCCTCCCCCCAAACAGTCATGAATTTGCTTTGACAGGTGGATGGAGATTGGAACTTCCCAGACTTCCTGCCTCACCCACTGAGCCAGGCCCAGGTTATGGGCATTGTGGCTACTCCCACCAGGTGGGTACTTGGTCTAAAGAGGCGTTCTTTGCTGGGCCTGTGGTAAGCTAAGGCCATGAGAATTGGCAGGAGGACCACCATTATTACTGCCTTGTAGGTGGGTGGGGGTTGTGTATGTAGAGGGAGACTGATTTCCAGGAAAGAAAATGTACCTATCACCCACACTGAGGCAGGATCCCATAGTCAACTACAGTATTTCTGCAACAAAATGGATCTAAATGGGGTCAGTAAAGACTATAGTCTTATTACCAGTTGCTGTTGAAGCTGTTCCGACTCATGGTGACCCCATGAGTAGAACTGCAGTCTAGAGATGTAAAGGCTGTGACCTTTTGGAAGCATATCACCAAGGGTGGATTTCAGCTGCCAGCCTATCAGTAGCTAAGCCTCACCAGGGTTTCTAAGTAACCTCATAGACGTGTACTAACAACCCTACTCTCCTTTCCTGATTTCAGGAAGTCTTTGTGGTGGTAATCCACCCTATGGAGGCCCAGTCTCCTGTTTATTTCATCTAAAGAAAAAAAGGCCCAGGAGGGGTCACGGTTGATTTTCCATGATGCCCACAATCCCTGACAATAAAATTCCAGGGTTTAGCTATCCCTCCTTGTTTTATTTTTGTTGCTGATAATTTACACAGCACAACATACACCAGCAATTATTACATGAACAATTCTGTGGCGTTGGTTACATTCTTCAAGTTGCTGTTGTCAGTCTGATCCCATATATATCTTAAAAGACCACAGTCTCAAAACAGACATTCTTTAATAGTTAAGCGAAATTATTGTTTGGTTTTAAGATTTCAGGGGATATTGTTGGTTTATGAGTTTATGATTTAAAGATTATCTCAGGGCAATAGTCCAGAGGTTCATCCAGCCTCCATGGTTCCAGAAAATTGAATCCATGAGGCTTTGAAATTCTGTTTTGCACTTTACCCCTTTTGATCAGGATTTTCCTATAGAATCTGATCAGGATGTTCAGTAATGATAGCTGGGTACCATCTAGTTCTTCTGGTCTCATGGTAAAGGAGGCAAGCTATCCCCTTTTAAAGTACTCATTATTGGTTTGACTGGAAACCTTGGGTGGTGCAAACAGTAAAGTGCTCAGCTACTAACCTAAAAGGTTTGTGGTTTGAACCCACCCAGTGGTGCCTCAGAAGAAAGGCCTGGTGATCTGCTTCTGAAAGATCACAGCCATTGAAAATTCTATAGATACGTTTTTACTATTTTTTATTCTATATTACTCACCATGAGTCAGAATTGACTCAGAGGCAACTGGTTTTGTTTTGTTTTTCTTGGTTTGTTTGACCAGAATATGATTAATGTACATGTTTCCAAAGAACCCAGAAACCACTGAATGTCAAAGGTATGTTGTATCCCAAGGCCTGTGCAGACCAAACCCCTGGCCTGCAAATACTTTGTATTTTCAAGCTCTGGATCTTATCTATACCTAAAACTTTAACAGCAAGCACCGTTTTTAGACACCATGCCCCACCCTCCCAGCCCATTTCAAAGTCCAGAATAAATTCTAGATTGGGCTTTCAACTTTCAACTTGACTTTCAAATCCCAAACCAATGCTACCACCCTGTGTGGGCAGAAATCAGTGTTTTCACACACTGCTGCTTAGCTTAATATCATCTCTCTCCATTTCATTGTAAGATTGAAATAATTAATAGTACCTACCTCACAGAGGGTTAGGGGTATTAAATGACTTAAAGATATGTAAAATATTTGGAACATGACAGGTCCCTGATACCCCCATGTCCTTGCCCCACTGAATTAGGGGTGTGTAAAACTTCTAAAAGGCATTTTAAAAGGCTGTGAATATTTGAAGTATGTAAAAAGCGTATATATCGTATAACGAACTCTTAACTGCTTATCAAAAGAAAACATGAAGTTCCTAACTGGCTGCATTCCTCTTCCATCCCCTTTCCCCTGGTCCACAGTCCCTTACCCTTATTGCAGTTCCAGAAAGCACAAAGATTTGGAAAAGTGTTTTTTCCCATTTAGTGGCAAGACCTGACTTGAGGCATTTGTAACCTTTTATTCCCAATAGTGGCCTCAAACCACTAAAATGATCATGGAGCCTGCAGTGTTCTTATACTAGTACTGAGTTTTGTAAATTTGAAAATTTCCATAATAAAAAGTTAAAAAGAAAATTGTTAGGAATGTTGTTTGTTTTGTTTGATCACAAAGTTGGGGTGGGAGATGGGTTGCTATCAAGTGTTTTCTGCAGTGTTGGGTACTTAGCATGTAGTCAATAAATGTTAACTTGTTCTTATGTGTGCCATATAGAACATTTCTCTCAGGATTCATGTATTGGTGGGGCCTAATGACAAACTAATCACTGCATAATGTGATGTTAGGTAATGGGAGCGCAAGACCACAGGAGGCTTGTGAGCTGTTGCTACAAGCCTGCTTCCCACTCAGGCTGTCGTATGAGACAGTTTCTCATTGCGTCTCAGGGTTAGGGATGAGGCTTTCTGCACCACCCTTCTTCGGGCTGTGAAACTGGCTGCTTGCAACAACCCACTGTAGTCGAGTTAATTCCAACTCAGAGAGTCCATAGGACAGAGTAGAACTGCCCCATAGGGTTTCCAAGGCTAATTTTTACAGAAGCAGACTTCTTCCTGCAGAGCAGCTGGTGGGTTTGAACCACCGAACTTTTGACCTTTAGGTTAGCAGCCAAGCATTTTAACCCCTGTGCCACCAGGGTTCCTTCCTTAGCAACAATGTGTCCTATCCATGTTGCAGTTATCTGGCTGGTTTTGTTTCACTGTTGCCTTGCACAAGGGGCAGAACTGGAATGTATGGCTAGTCTGGGTGTTGCTAAGAAAGAAACATTTTAATCTAGCAAGGGCATGTTTCTTTATTGGCTGAATTTCAGCCTTAACTTGCATTGACAACTGGGAGAAGAGAATTGCAGGCAGAAGGAAAGGCAAATACAAAGGCCCTGAGGTTAGATTGTACTTGGCACACTTGAGGAACCATGAGGAGACCATCGAGGCTTGGAGCAGTGTGAAGGAGAGTGAGATCAGAGATATGACGGGCTAGATAGTATAGGGCCTTCTGGGCCATAGTGAGGACTTCTGTCTTTTAATCTGAGGTAGGAGCTGTGGCAGGGCTCTGAGCAGAGGAGGGCTGTGGCCTGATTGAGGATTTAACAATCCTTCTGCCGAGGAAGGGGAAGGGGTGAGGGCGGAAGCAGTGAGGAGGCCACTGCAGTAGTCCAGGCCAGCAAGAGGAGCTCACAGAGTAACTTAGTTGGAAAGATTGTCAAAGTTGTTAAATAGTATAGTGGCTAAGAGCAAGGATTCTGGAGCCCCTGGCTTGGGTTTTAAATCCAGTTCCATCGCTGACTTGCTATATAGGGCAGCTAACTTTATCTCTTTGCCTCCATTTCCTCATCTGTGATACGGGGATAATATTAACTTCATAGGGTTGTGAGGATTCAAGGAAGTTTTATATTCATGTAAAGTACTTGTTAGTATTAT